CTTCCTGCAAAGATCAGCTAAAACCCTGATCAAACACACCTGAACAAACTTATTAGGATCTGAAGGAACACTTGATCATTACAGACAGGTGTGTTTGATCAGGACAAAAGTCATTCATGTCCAGATAGTTATTCATTTTGATGACATTTATGGACGTACATGAGGGTGTTTTGATATTGACGCTGCTCAGGTGGGGCAAAGCGCAGGAGCAGCATTACTATGAAGCGAAGTTAATTTAGAGTTAGAATAACTAAGGGTTGATAACTTGATATGAGTGCAATAATTCCAAAGAATGCCCTAAAGAAACTAAAAATCGGTACTTTTTGCCACCCTGACGGTCCTGCCCTGCCTAGTACGCCTATATGCACGCATCGGCCCTTTACCTGATTGGACACACTTAGCGTTCACACTTATAGGTTTAGAAAAAGAAAATCGGAAAAAGAAAAGCAATCATTTTAAAAGCTTTATATTTTCTAAAAATATTTAGATTTAAATTAGTTAAATATTGTTCAAAATATAATTGCTTGTGCAATGTATTAAGGATATTAGTAGCAAAAGCCAGGCAGTTCTCTAAAACGCTATGAACAAGACATACAGAGTACCACTATGGTTGGCAAAGTCACTGCTAATTGTTAGGAATTAAATCCATTTTAAAAATTAAAGTTAAAATGTTTATAAAAATTAATAAAAAAAAGTTAGGGATGCTCAAGTACATATGTTTTCCCCCCACTTATACCAATTTTAAGTTTCACTGTTATTTTGCTGGAATTTTAAGTTGGCCTTTCTGGAAGAAATGTATAGTTGCTACTCAAACACTTACATTTTGGCAAACACTACAAATGATTACAATACAAGAGCATGCAGACTCCGTTTGGAGTCCTGCTTTAAAAAAAAAAAAAAAAAAAAACCTCTACAAGGTTAAGAACCAGCACCTTGAGTGAGTTTCTTATAAAGATCTCAAGTCACAACAAATAGAAACTCAAATATCAAATGATTGTAATTCTGCTTAAACACTTGTCAGATGAGGAACAAAAGGAGGTAACAGATGGACTGATTGCATAAAAGCAGTTTTATTCAAGTCATGTATCCTGTAACCAGCACTGAAATCATGGACCGGGACACGGAGACATGTAGGTGGTCTCAAACGAATCACCTGAAAGGGGAACAGAAAATGAGCTGGATTGTGTTCAAGGGGGAATTCAGCCAGAGCAAAGCATGATCAGGATAAAAGCATACTTGGCTCATAGTAGTCATAAACACTGATGACCGCTGGCTTGAGATTTTTCACTGTAAGAATCGGTTTCAGCAGCAGACTATAAGTCATGGGGACGCCTTTGGGAACCTGCAAGACAGAACGGTGGAACAGCAGTACACACCAGAATATGGCAGCAAGAGATTATACCCAGTGTACGCAGTCTCACCTCTTTCAGATACAC